GAACTCACAGAGATCCGCCTGGCTCTGCCTCCCGAGTGCTGGGATTAAAGGCGTGCGCCACCACCGCCCGGCAACTATAATCTTAAACATGATTGGTAGAAAATGTTAAGAATCTATAAGTTGCTAGGTCAATGGGAAAAAATAAAACTGTCTTCTTTTTTCCTGTGACTCCTATCTGTCCAAGCTATCTGCCGTTTTTTCTGCAGGGTGGGGGAAAGCGTGCTCAGTCGCTAGGCAACCTGTATACAGCTAGATGCCTCTGGTAATAGTTAAAGGGAGATCTGGAACTAGAGGTAAGATTTGGGAAAGGAGGAAGTTAAGTTTAATTGGCACATCTGCCAGGCCTTCTCAAAAAGGTAGCCTAGATGATTAAGTCTGTTCTTAGAGAGTACAGAGGTATCTCTGATAAGGTACTCTCCTCCATTTGGGGATGGACCCGGCCGGATGCTGCCAATGATGATAATTACAGGGAGTCTTGAACTGGGGTTCTGGCTGAGCATAGCTGTTAGCACAGAAGGTTATCTAAAGATTCCTAGAAGTGGTTAGGAAAGGAGTTAGAGGTCCATAAAGTTAGTAAGGTGTAAGAAAGGAGGGTCCGAGCTCAATTGTGTAAAGCTATTACTTAAAGTCCACCTGACCTAGGCGGTGTCTCCTTGTGGAATTTACCTTAAATCAGGAGGGTTGCATGTGGACTGTTATCACTGTTAGTCTTTGAAAGTGGCTAAGGGAGATATCTGATTCCAGAGGAAGCCTTTCCTGAGGCAGTTCTCCAAATGCCTGGAATGTGTATGTCCAGAGAGTGATCAGTCCACACTGTTAGCCCTTCTAAGGGAAAAATCAATTGGGAAAACTATGAAGGCACTCATGATTTTCATAACAGAAGACAGCTGATATATAACAAGCCAAGTAACACCAAAAGCAGGCCTCCATGGCAAATTCGGTTCAGTTCTTGCCTGCCATCATGGAAGAAACTCTTTCTCAGAGCAGTTAAAGAACCTAATGCATATTGTAAAAAATCATACTGCTCTAGATGATAGAACAGCTATAGAAGAGAGAACAAAAAATCAGGAGAAACTATAAATCAAAATTGATAAAGATTAAATAGGCAACAACCTTCCCAAAGTTAGGGTTGGGGAAGGGTTTTGTTTTTTGTCTTCAGGAGAATAAAGGCTGAGGAATTTGAGGCATACTGAACAAATGAGACATCTGAAGAAAAAAGATAAATCATTGAGAAAAAAAAATGTCCCAAGAAAAAGAGTAAATTGGCCTATTGGTATATCACATATCTAACAGGATAAAATTTCATAAGTCTCCCTAAATGTTTGTTTCTGCTGTTCTCTATGATAAGTTTTTTATGCCTGATAAGCCTGCGCTGATGCAGCAATCCAAATCAGACCGAATTAGAAAAAGCCCTGGTTTAATGGGTAAAGCATTCCCAGGTGATTCTTCGGCCTCCCAGAGAGAAGACAGGGATGAGAGCCCGGAAAAGCACATGTCTGTTTTCTGGGATGCAGCTTAAATACCCTGTGGGAGTGGCCTTGAGCATCTCTTGGGGAGGAGCTGTGTTTGCTGGGCTTTGAAGGGGCAGGTTTGGGGAAAGAGATGGGAGAGGGGAGTTGAGGTGGATCTTCCACTAGAACGCTCTACAGACACATAATGCAAACGGTCTTTATGTAGTCCCAGCTCAATTAAAAATTAAAGCTGGCCTTGGAGTTACAGTGTGGCTTTCTCCTCTAAACCCAAGCATGCTTATTAAAAGGAAAATCCAAAATCTCTGTTTCATGTCAGAAAAGCCACCTGATATGGGACTGAAGAAAAAACAAAATTAAGGGACTGTTATATTGCTATTAATCTCATAATTGTTTGGTTTTATTTTGACTCTTTAAAACTTTTCTTTTTTTTGTTTTGTTTTGTTTTGTTTTGTTTTGTTTTGTTTTTTTCGAGACAGGGTTTCTCTGTGTAGCTTTGTGCCTTTCCTGGAACTTGCTTTGGAGACCAGGCTGGCCTTGAACTCACAGAGATCTGCCTGGCTCTGCCTCTGGGATTAAAGGCATGCGCCACCACCACCACCAGGCCAAAGGAGGCTTTTGATTGCTGGACTTCAATATGATAGCTGGACCTTGGTAGTCAGTCTCAGGAGGAGGAAGTGACCAAATAAGGGAACAGACCTTGGTGTCCAGCTTTAGGAATGTAATCTAGCAGTTTTTAGCAAGACAGAGGGAATGGGGAGAAGGGCAAGGCCTGCTAGAGCCACATGTTCGAGTGGACTAATGTCCCTTCACTGGTGATGCTGTTGCTGGAAGAATATGGACTTTGGGACTTTGGACTAGAAAGTGCTTGGACTCTTTAAGTGGGGCTTAACAAGCCATCTCAGTAGACATGGACGGTAGTACAGAGGGAGATGTGAACTGTGGGAGCCCAGTTCAAGACGCTTCACAGGGGAAGAATACTAGTAAGCGGCCTAAAGACTATTCTTGTGGTATTTTTGGAAAAGAATGTGGCTGCTTTTGGCCCTGGTTCTAAAAATCTGCCTGAGGCTAACTTGAGTTTTTGATGGTGTGGACAGAGGAGATTTCCTGACAGTCCAGTATTGACTATGTCCTGTGATTATTAGTGGTCACACTCATGGAGATCTATAATGAAAAGGAGCAAGCTGGGCAAAAAGAAATATAAAATGTACAGTAGGAGAAAAGGGACACCAGGAAGTGTAATGGAGTTAAGTCCAATGTTTAAGGAGATTTTAAAAAAAAAGAAACCGATGCTAAGTGAAATAAAGGGAGTGAGGACCTCTGACAAGACCCCACCCAGATAAACTTTCAATCTGTGAAAAGGAATTAAAGGAAAGCTTAAGCAGGGCTGGAGAGATGGCTCAGAGGTTAAGAGGTCCTGAGTTCAATTCCCAGCACCCACATGGTGGCTCACAACCATCTGTAATGGGATCTGGCGCCCTCTTCTGGCCTGAAGAGATACATGCAGATAGAACACTATACACAATAAATTCAAAAATCTGTAAAAAAGAAAGAAAAGAAAAACTTAAGCAGGTTCTAGAGAGATGTCTCAGCGGTTAAGAGCACTGGCTGCTTTTCCAGGGGAGGAGTTTGGTCCCCAACAACCACATGGTGGCTCACAATCACCTAGCATGAGATCTGATGTCCTTCTCTGACATGTAGATAGAGTACTCATATACATAAAACAAGTAAATCTTTTAAAGTGCCAGGTGGTGGTGGTGCACACCTTTAATCCCAGCACTTGGGGGGCAGAGGCAGGTGGACATCTGTGAGTTCGAGGCCAACCTGGTCTACAGAGCGAGATCCAGGACAGGCACCAAAACTACACAGAAAAACCATGTCTCAAAAAACCAAAAAAGGGGCTGGAGAGATGGCTCAGAGGTGAAGAACACTGATTGCTCTTCCAGAGGTCCTGAGTTCAAATCCCAGCACCCACATGGTGGCTTACAACCATCTGTAATGAGATCTGGCACCCTCTTCTGTATACATAATAAATAAATAAATCTTAAAAAAAAAAACAAAAAAGAAAAAGAAAAGGAATGAAAAACTTAAGCAGTGAAGGAAACCACCAACCACAGAAAGGAGGGGCCAAGTTCCAGCCTCATCAAGCAGCAGAACTTGGCAGCTTTGGCCACGTGGTTCTGGCTGTAGAGTCAAGGATACAAGACAGGGGTTGTAGAATCTCCCTCTGCAGCTAAGGAAAAGCCACTGAGGACAGGGATGTGTCAGCGGTGTCCTTGCATGGAGGCCCAGAGAAGCCCTTGCACAAAGCCGTGAAGGTGAAACCTGGATGGCCTTGGAGAACCCAACATGTTAGAGATGTCAGAGCCTTGGGATACCCGCTGAGGAGAGCTGCTAAGGGAGTGGAACCTGGGAGAAGTGTGTGGCAGTCAGCAAGGCTCAAAGGAGCTGGAGATCTGAAGAGGGCTTTGACATCAGACATGGAGATGCAGAGTTTGGAGTTCGCCCAGCTGGTTTCCAGTCTTGCTTTGGTCAGTATTTCCTCACTGTTCTCCCTTTCCTCCCTTTTGTATGGTAATGTATGTCCTGTGCCATTGTATGTTGGAAGTATGTGATCTGCTTTTTGATTTTGATTTTACAGGGGATTACAGTGAAGAGATTGTCATGAGTCTCAGAAGGGACTTTGAACTTAGGATTTGTTTTGGTATGATTTGGTTTTTCGAGACAGGGTTTCTCTGTGCAGCTTTGGTGCCTGTCCTGGAACTCACTCTGTAGACCAGGCTGACCTCGAACTCACAGAGATCTGCCTGGCTCTGCCTCCCGAGTGCTGGGATCAAAGGCGTGTGCCACCACTGCCCGGCAAATGCTTTCTTTAATAAGCATTGCCTTGGTGATGGTGTCTTTTCACAACAACAGAACAGACTAAGACGGGCCCCTCCCTGATGACTAGACATGCAAATATGTAAGCCTGTGGGGGCCATTCTTACTCAGGCCACCAGACCACGTGCTTGTCTTCCAGCGGGTGCTCTACCCATGGAGCTGCACCCTCAGCCTAGTTAACTTTTTTTTTCTCCATTTGAGAAAGGATCACTTGTAACTCAGAGTATCCTTGAGCTCATTATGTAGCCAAGGATGACCTTTGAACTCCTGGTCCTCTTGTTCTCCTCCCCACCCTCCCACCTCCCACCCCGTACCAGAACTATTAATGTGTGCCACCAAATCTGGCTTAACACTTTTTCAAAAACTTAAGGTCACATTTATTTAGAAGCAGACACACGCCACTGTGCTGTAGAGGGCAGAGAACACCATGTGAGTCTACTATGTGGGTCCTGGGGATCAAACTCAGGTCTTCAAGCTCGGTGGCAAAGTCTTTGGCCACTGAACCATTTTGCTGGCCTTAACATTTTAAAAAAGAACCATGTAGCTTGAGCATGGTGGCGTACACCTTAAATCCCGGCACTGCAGTGGGGCGGGGAGAGGCAGAGGCAGGTGGATCTCTGTGAGTTCGAGGCTAGCCTGGTCTACAGAGTGAGTTCTAGGACAGCTGGGGCTACACAGAGAAACCCTGTCTCAAAAAAGCCAAAAACGAAAAGTAAATATATATATATATAGCTGGATATAGTGGTGCACAGCTGTAGTCTAGGAGCTTGAGAGACTGAGGCAGGAGGATCACTGATTAAGGCCAACCTGGGCTATACAGTGAGATCTAGGCTTAAGAAAATTTGTAATAGCCAGAACCTGGAAACAACCTAGATGCCCATCAACGGAAGAATGGATGGAAAAAATGTGGTACATATACACAATGGAGTACTACTCAGCAGAGAAAAACAATGAAAGCATGAAATTTGCAGGCAAATGGATGGAACTAGAAAAAAATCATCCTGAGTGAGGTAACCCAAACCCAGAAAGACAGTTATGGTATGTACTCACTCATAGGTGGCTTCTAGATATAAAATAAAGAACAATCAGACCACAACCCATAGAACCATAGAGGCTATATATATAGAATGGAGGTCCCTAGGATGACTGTGGCTTATAATAAATTTCCGTTTTACTCAATTATTGGAAAAAAAAAATAGCCAAATGAATGGAAACACATGAACTATGAACCAAAGGCTGAGGGGCCCCCAGCTGGATCAGGCCCTCTGAATAGGTGAGACAGTTGATTGGCTTGATCAGTTTGGGAGGCAACTAGGCAGTGGGACCGAGTCCTGTGCTCATTGCATGAGTTGGCTGTTTGAAACCTGGAGCTTATGCAGGGACACTTGGCTCAGTCTGGGAGGAAAGGACTGGACCTCCCTGGACTGAATCTACCAAGTTGATCGCAGTCCTCGGGGGAGGATTTGCCCTGGAGGAGGTGGGAATGGGGGGTGGGCTGGGGGTAAGGGGAGGGTGTGGGAGGGGGGAGAATAGGGGAACCCATGGCTGATATGTAGAACTGAATGGTATTGTAAAATAAAATAAAAATAAATAAATTTTAAAAAAAGAAAGAAAATATGGAAGTAAGTTGATAAAAACTCTAGATGTGGTTTCATGATTCTATGGAACGTGATGAACCTCCGACTCTCCATCAGGAAAGTGGGCGGAATTCTCCTTAAAGTAACGTTTCCTTAGCGCCTGCCTTTTGAAAGTTTGTAATCCTTACCGGACCCACCTGTCTGAAACCCCCTTGATCTGTTTTCTACCCGGGGGGGGGGGGGGGCAGGCTGAAGACAAAGTCAGAAGTAAACAGGTTGGCGGACCCCTGCAGGGCCAGGCTGGGGGGGGGGGTCGTGCACCCCTACAGTAAACACAAGTCAGTTTCACCTCCGGTAGTTTCCTTTCCTCTCCGTACCACCCAAGACTGGGCTTTTCTAAAGAGGTGCCTGCAAACAGCCAAAAAATAAACCACAACAGAGGCCCAGAGGAAAGGCAGGCGAAGCTGAGTAACAGCAAGATGAGATGGGAAAATAAATAATTGTTACTACTGAGTTCCGCAAACCTGCCTTCCTTTCCCAGCTACCAGACCCTCAACTAAAGAGGTCATGGTCAAGAATCAGGATCAGGCTCTGCCACGCACAGGACGCTCAGCAACCCCCAACAACATATAACCTAAAAATTCTAAAAATTACCATCATGACTATTTTTCCTTTTCACACACACACACACACACACACACACACACACACACACACACACGCACACACACACACCCTAATGCTTTGCAGACCAGCCTGGATTCAAACTCAGAGAGCCACCTGCCTCTCCCTCATATATATGCCTCCCCATGGATTAGAACTCATGACCCTCTTGTCTAAGCCTCCCCGACCCTGGAATTAACAGACTTGACCCACCAGGTTTCCACTTCTGATGTGGTATTGTACTGAGCCTGTTCTGGGCCCCCCTCATCAGAAGCCTTGCTCTCCCATACAGCAACCGGTGTGTGTCTCTTCTGCCTGGGAGGTGGTCCCTGGTTGAAATATTGGTGGCATTATTCTGTGTGAAAAGCCAGTGGTTCAGACATGCCCTCACTGCAGGCCCTGTACCTCAGTGCCCACCTGCATTAGGCATGTCCCACCCAGCTCCCCTTGCTTTGAGATGGCCCCTCACTGTGTAGCCAGGCTGGCTTTGAACCCGCGGCAACGCTCCTGCCTTTGCGAGGATTACAGCACCTCCTTGCTCATCTACCTTGACTACCACCATATGCAGGTTCAAAGGACTCAAGATCACTCTGGGTTTGTGTCCCAGCTAGCCACGTAGCTTTGACTCCAGCCTCTCTGGAACCTCTCTCTGCGCATCTGGAAGATGGGACCATGACGGTGTTTTTGGCTTTCTGTACCGGTCTTCACTGTAGCCCAGGCATCAAACCCAAGAGCCTCGTGAGAGCTCGGCTTGTGACCATGTCACCCTGCCTAGCTACAGTGACGGTTCCAAATGTGTTTCAGTGTTTATTTAATTCTGTGTAGCTGCACAGGCCTGTGTGCTGGAGGTCAGAGGAAAACCTGAAAAGTGGGTGTTGAGGATTGAACTCAGGTCCTCAAGCTTGTTGGCCAGCACCTTTACCTGCTACCTGGCACTACAATGGATTTTGTTGTTGTTTGTCAAGACAGGGTTTCTATGTGTAGTCCTGGCTGTCCTGGAACTCACTCTGTAGCCCAGGCTGGCCTCGAACTCACAGAGATCCACCTGCTTCTGCCTCCTGAGTGCTGGGATTAAAAGACGGGCACCACTATGCCCCGCTTACAGTTGGTTGCATACCAACACTGCACAGTGGTACACACCTGTAACCCCGGTACTTGGTAAGTACAGGCAAGAGGATCAGAAGTTCAGGATCACCCTCAGCTACACAGAGAGTTCAAGGCCAGCCTGTGCTACGTGAGATCTTACCTCAAAAATAAACACATTGAAGCCGGGCGGTGGTGGCGCACGCCTTTAATCCCAGCACTTGGGAGGCAGAGCCAGGCGGATCTCTGTGAGTTTGAGGCCAGCCTGGACTACCAAGTGAGTCCCAGGAAAGGCGCAAAGCTACACAGAGAAACCCTGTCTTGAAAAACAAAAAAAACAAACAAACAAAAAAAAAAAACATTGAGGAGCTAAAACTATAAACACATAGTTTTAGCTCCGTGATAGAATGCTTGCCTAGCAAGCTCAAGGCCCTGGGTTTGGTCCTTACCTGGGGGTGGTGGGAGGCGGGGGTTGGGGGCGGAAACCAAAAAAATCACATACACGTAGGTGTCAGTTCCATCTCCCCAGTTTGTGACCTCGGGTGTGCTCCTCCTCGTCTCTGAGCCTCATACCCTCTGTGACACGGAAGGAACAGAGTCCTCACCTCCCTGCCTGACAGTGGCCTCCAAAGAATCAAACTTGTAAAGCACGGGGCACCATAAGCACTTGTTTGGATCCAGTCTGTCCATGCTGTGTGACTCCAGACCGATGAAGTTCCCTCTCTGAACTTCAGTTACTGGTCTGCGATACAGGACCCGAGCTGGGCTCCCCTCGTGGAGCTGTGAGGATTCAGTCAGACCGTGTAGGTAACTGTGTGGCAGTGTCTGCCTCACGAATTCAGGGCTACTGAGACAAGTCAGGCCGAGCAGGCAAAGACTGGCACAGAGGATAAAGGCCTTGTCTCCAAGCCTGACAACCTGAGTTCAAGTCTCATGACCCATGGTGGACAGAGAGAATTGACTTCTGAAAGCTGTCCTCTGACCTCTGAATTTGATCCCTGGAATCCACTTGGGAGAGGGGGCTGCCTCCTGCAAGCTGTCCTCTGAGCTCCACATAGCAGCAGCCGCATGCCCCCCACTGTGAAGTAAATAAACGTAATAAAAAATTAAGCTGGCCGTGGTGGTACATGTCTTTAATCCCAGCACCTGGGGAGGTAGATTCTGAGGGTTTGAGGGCAGCCTGGTCTACAAAGCAAGTTCCAGGATGTCCGGGGATACATAGTGAGACTCTATCATGAAAAACAAAACAAAGAAGCAAAACAAAACAAAACAAAAAAATTAAGTCAAATCTAAGGTTCTGAGAGAAGGAAGGGGGATGTGAGAGTGGACAACGGACAAAGCCCTGAACTGAACAGGAGGGAAACTGAAGCCTGTGGAAACAGAAGATCCTTTCCAGCAAACAGAGTGCCTTGGAGGAGGGGCGCCCTGGGAAATAAACTACTTCCAATCTCCGTGGGAGATTGGAGCCAGACAAGAATCATGGGCTGGAAGTGGGCCCTTTAAATCTAAGCTCCACCTTTGCTTGGAGTGGTCTGTAGGGGAGTATTTATAAGGGGGTGTGCCTCCTCTCTGCTCCACACAGGCCTGATGCTCCTGCCCTCTGACCTCACAGCCCCTGGCCCCGAGTCCCTCCCCAGCACCCACAGCCACCAGCCACATAGAGGTAGCATGGAGCTACCACCCTTTGACATGTGGAGGGACTACTTTAACCTGAGCCAGGTGATACTGACTATAATCCAGGGCCGGAGGCAAAGGCTGGTGGGTCAAGGGGCTGAAGTTCCCACCCCCAGCCCCCAGGAGAAGAGTGAACAGGAGCTGGGGGCCTCCGGGAACCTGGCCACCCTGTGCAACTTCTGCAAACACAACGGAGAGTCTCGCCACGTCTATGCCTCACACCAGCTGAAGACATCGGAAGGCGTGGTGGTGTGTCCCATCCTGAGGCATTATGTGTGCCCCCTGTGTGAGGCCACCGGGGACCAGGCTCACACCCTCAAGTACTGTCCACTCAACAGCAGCCAGCAGTCTCTCTACCGGCGTGGTGGACGAAACTCCGCTGGACGCAAAGTCAAGCGATAAGTAAGACCCACCAGGTGCCCATCACCCACACCCCCAAACCCTTCTTGCTCTGGCCCTGGTACCCTCCCCTCTGCTCACCCAGCCCTATGGGGGTTCCTGGATCCCACTGTTCTCTGTGCCTTCAGGATCCTGAAACATTGGCGGTTGCTGGCAGCCGGGTCCACCTGTCTCAGAGATTCCTGACACTGTGAGAGCTGTTCTCCATGGACCCTGCAACTTGGTGGCTTCTTTTGGATTGTGACAGCCTGCTGGTGATACTGAGCTAGCCTTGTTGACGTCTCAGATCCCCTGTAAATATCCCTTGGGGGAAACCCTTGGACTCTCCACCATACAGAATCCCAGCGTGCTCTGACGGGCTGGTCGTCAGAATCTGGGGACAGTGCCAGAGATTGGCCGGGACCTGAGAACTTGACGTTGGTACTGACTGTGAGATCATCCATCTGTCTTCACCTTCTTCAGCATCTGCAGACTCAGGTTTCTCCACGGACCGTTCAAGTTCCTTGAACATTGCCATCCAGCAGGAACTAGAGGAGGGGTCAGGACCCTCTTGGAAGGCTGCAGGGCCTTTGCAGCTTCACAGGCTGCCTCCAGGGAGCTGAAGCCCACAGCACCCACTACTTCATTTCTAATCCCATCTCACTTTCTCATGCCCCCAACCCCCATCATTGATGGATCCCCCCCCCCCAGTGAGAGACGTCTCTCTCTTCCACCCCCAATCTTGTTGAGTGTGTTACGTCGAGGCGAGTCCCACAGCCAAAGAGTCTGAGACCCGATGTGAACATGGCAACTGCTTAGATTGTAATTTTAGGGTCAAAGAAGAACTCTAGTAGGACTTGTAAGTTATTTAGGAGTTGGGCTTCGAGGTGGGATGAGGATACATGGGTGGGCGGGTGGAGCTCTGGCGAATAAAGAGTTTTAGAGTTAGATTTGTAACCCTGGTGTCTACAGTCTTTCAGCGTGGTTGGCCCTGTTAGTGGGCTGCGCCTTTGGGTTCTGGGGGAGAGAGGTGAGGGACGAGACTTGGGGGGCTGCATTTGCCTAAAGCCTGGGGAACTGTCTCATATGTCCTCCATCACAGGTTGTGTGGCTGGGACAGGTTCACAAATACTTCTTAGCCTCCACCTAGACACTTTTTTTAAAAAAAAAAAAAAAAAGACTTTGTGGAGCCAGGCAGTGGTGGTGCACGGCCTTTAACCCCAGCGCTGTCAGGAATAGTGCTTGCGTGGTGGTGCATGCCTTTAATCCCAGAGCTCAAGAGGCAGAGGCAGAGGCAGGCGGATCTCTGTGAGTTCGAGGCCAGCCTGGACTACAGAGTGAGTTCCAGGGCAGAACCCCTATCTCAAAAAAAAAAAAAAAAAAAAAGGCAAAACAAAAAAGAAAGTGTGCAGAGGGTGGGGGATGGGGCACAGCATCCAGGTGTTGGTCAGAGGAGTCCACTCTCTCCTACCATGTGGGTCCTGGGGACTGAACTCAGGTCTCAAGCGCAGTGGCAAGCACCTTTCACCCACTGGGCCATCTCCCCTGTCTGCTAAGTCTTTTTCTCTTTCCCCTCTCCTGTTCCCTAGATATTGAACCTAGGAACCTACAGCTCTGTTTACACAGGGGTTCCCCTCCTGCGTTATTAGTCTAGGAAGCAGCACCAGGTCTGACTTTTGATAAGATTTTAAACTTTGGGCTCCCGAACCCCATCACAAAACTTTTTTTTTTTTTTAAAGTATAAACTAGGCATATGAACACCTTTAATCCTAGCACCCGGGAGGTAGAGGCAGGTGGATCTCATCTGTGGGTTCAAGGCCAGGCTAGTCTACAAAGCAAGTTCGAGGAGAGCCAGGGCTGTTACACAGAGAAGCCCTGTCCCCAAATATATGTGTGTGTATGTGTGTGTGTGTGTGTGTGTATGCATATTACACACACACATATATACATATATCTCTACTCGATGCAGCACGGAGTGGTGGCACCCATGCCTTTAACCCCAGCGCTCTTGAAGCAGAACCAGGTGGATCCACCTGCAGGGGATCTCACCCTCTCTGGTAACCAAGGCACCACCACCCACACGTATATACAAACAAAACTAAAATCCTTCCCCCTCCCCTTTTTTTTTTTTCTTTCGAGGACAGGGTTTCTCTGTGTAGTTTTGGTGCCTGTCCTGGATCTCGCTGTATAGACCAGGCTGGCCTCGAACTCACAGAGATCCGCCTGGCTCTGCCTCCCGAGTGCTGGAATTAAAGGCAGGTGTGCGCCGCCACCACTACCCAGCTTTTCTCCCCTTTTTTAATGTATATGGCCGTTTTGCCTGCTTGTATGTCTGTGCACCACATGCCTGCCTGGTGTCAGCAAAGGCCAGAAGAGGGCATCAGATCCCTTGGTACTGGTTATGGGCCCCACTTGCATTTGGAGACCCAAACTCCGATCCTCATGCGAGAGCTCTTTACTGCTGAGCCATCTCTCCAGCCCCTCCCCCGCCTCATTTCTTAATCACGTGTCACCTGTTCCTTAAGTGTGGTGACGGCACATACCTTGTCCTCTGGAGGCTGCAGCGAGATTATTGCTGCAAATTCAATGCCAGCCTGGGATACCCACAAAACAATTTTTGGAAGTGAGCACAAACAGAGAAGGAAGTTTTGCCTTTTATGTGAATAGCACCTTGAGCGATGTGGGCGCTCATAAATAACTGTCGGATGAATGAAGCACCGATTACTCAATGACCTTGCAAATGCTGGCACTGAAAAAAATCTCACAAGGCTAAACTCAGTCATCCAGCCATTCAGTTCATCCAACTGGTGCTCTTGATTCATTCCTGCTCGGCGCTTTTGATTAAAATGGGCCATGGCCAGGAGGACCTTCGTCCCCACCCTCCAAGAAACTCCAGCCTTTGAACTCCCTTTCCCAGGAGGTGACGTCAAAACGTGAACAAGGGGGCCTCCCAGGCGTGATTGGGAGGTTGCTGGGTTGCTATGGTTACCGCCTCTGCATGGGCGGGGAATGTCTCCCGGGTGCCCCGCCTAAATCCGTAGGAGGTAGTTCCCGAGTGATCCTGCGCTGGGGCGTGATTGGGCGTGGGCAAGGAGGGTGCTTAACGCCCCCATCCCCACCCACGCAGTTGTCATGGAAACTAAGCTCTACTCTCCTCCCCATCGCTCCCTCACCTTCCTCTAACAAAAAAGAAGACTTTTCACTTAGCGGAGAGAGTATGCTAGAGGACTACCCAAAAAGAGGAAACTCTGCTCGGTCCTAGCGCTCACTCTAGCATCTCTCCTTCCTCTGCAGCGCCCGCACTAGGACTGAATCCTGGGTACCACCGCCGGCAAGGTGCCAGCGACACGCATGCGCGCTGTAGGTTTGCACATGCGCAATTGGGCACGAGATGCCCAGGGAACCTAGCGCAATGCTAAGTGTGCGGCTGCGCAGCCGTATCCTTCAGGTGAAGCAAGGCGAGGAGCGGTTCTGCGCTTGCGCCATGCAGAGAGGCTAGGCGCAGAGAACGCAGCCCTGGCTATCGGTGTCTGGAGACAGCGTTCGCCCTGCGCGCATGCGCCTTGGCTCTCGATGCTACTGGGGGCGGGGCCCAGAGGGGGAGGTAGAGGTGTGGGGGGAGGGAAGAGGCTGCAGAAGCCGACCCACCGGCAGGCAGGGGCTGCGGCGGCGCGGGTGAGTGACCCACGGCCCAACTGGGTCCCCATCCTCTGCGATCCACCACTCTTCCTGGAGTCCCAAAGAGCTTCGGGAGGTCCCTCCTCTTATCCAGGACCCCCGTTATCTCTAGCGCTCCCCTTCATTCCAGACAATCCCAGCACCCCCATAATCCCTGCAGACCCTCAGCCTTAATATTTTATCGTCTTACCCAGAGGCTCCCCTCTCACCTTTATTCCTGGACATCCTCTCTCAGGGACCATAGAACAGACACCCCACTGCCCTGGGAGCCCCTTAGCGCTCCCCTCTAATCTGGATGCCCCCGTCTACTGCATTGCCCGGTTGGCATCACTTCAAAGCCTCATGCGTGTTCGACCCCCGGGGTATCCTCGATTCTCTTTCCTTTTCCTGTTCCCCTGCGCCCCCGTTCTCCTCTAACTCCTGCAGCAGCGACACCCTTTCTTCCTTCCACTTTTGCTCATTTCCCTCCATCCTTCCAGACCGTCCCCCAATACCCATTAACTCCTCCGCGAGGCATTCGGCGGCCGCGTGAAGCACAAGATGGGCACTGGGCGGGCATCACCTACGAGTAAGCACCTTTGATTGCACTCAGCAGCTCGCCGCTCCCACCACCACTTTTGCACAGGGGACCGGAGGAGCCCGTGTCGGGGCGACACGGGGACACCGAGCCCCCGCCAGCGCTGTTCACCCTTTGCCCGCAAAGCCGGCGCCCCCCATGCGCCAGGCAGCCGATCGGTGGCGTCTGGGGGCTCCATGGCCTCGGCGACCGAGGCGGTGGCGGCGGCGCCGGGCGAAGCGGAGGAGACCACTCGGCTCCGCAAACCGCGGTTCTCCTTCGAGGAGAACCAGATCCTGATCCGGGAGGTGCGCGCCCACTACCCTCAGCTCTACGGCGCGCAGAGCCGTCGAGTGAGCGTGGCCGAGCGGCGGCGTGTGTGGGACAGCATAGCCAGCAAGATCAACGGCATCACCAGCTGGAAGCGCACGGGCCAGGAGGTTCAGAAGCGTTGGAACGACTTCAAGCGCCGCACCAAGGAGAAGCTGGCCCGAGTGCCGCACTCCACGCAGGGCGCGGGGCCCGCTGCCGAGGACGCCTTCTCCGCGGAGGAGGAGACTATTTTCGCCATCCTGGGGCCGGGTGTGGCGGGGCCCGGGTCTGGCGCTGGGGCTGAGGAGTCCCCGGCCGCTGCCTCCTCACAGCCGCAAGCTCCGACCGCTGGTACGCAGCGGTATGTGCTGTCGGAGGACCGCAGGCAGGATCGACGGGCAGGTGAGTCCCAAAGTCACCCCTTTAACAACTGCAAACACTTCTAAAGCCTGCTGTGCGCAGTTCACGCCCAGATCCTTCGGGCGTGTTTGTCACATTCTCTTAAAAACGGTGGGAGGTGGGTGCTGCACCCCCGTTTTAGAGCTAGGGCGTTAAGGTCAGGGAAAAGGATATGATTTAGACGTGGTGGCAATGGGCCTAATTCTAGCACTTGGGAGGTGAAGGCTGAAGAAAAAAGTTCAAGGCTAGTCTGTGCTACAGCAGACCTGGTTCAAAAGAAGGGTGAGGAGGGGTCGTCCTGGGGTGCCCAGTTGGTAGAGTGCTTTCCTAGCTTTCAGGGGTTCCTGGCTCGGATCCCCCAGCACTGCAGAGATCCGTGTGGTGGCACATGACTGCAATCCCAATACGCTGAAGTTGTTGACAGAAGACCAAGGTTATCTTTGGGTGCGTTGTGAGCTGAAGGCAAATCTGAGCCCTGTGAGACCCCTCTCTCTCCAAAAATAATGATTTAAAAGACAGAGAAAAGAAAACGGATGGGCTCTGGTGGTTGGGCAGCCACTTGGTAATTGTCAGAGGTAGGCATGTAAGCAGCCCTGGGAGGCCCGGCTCAAGGGATGTCATCAGCAGCCAGGCAAGATTTCAGTGGGCGGGGCTGGCCTCGCCTCCCAGCTCCCGCGGAGGAAGAGGCAGGAAGATGGGGACCTCATTGCCTGCCGAGGGCTGCAGTGTGAGTTAAGAAGCCGTCTGGGAACGTTCCGGAGACCCTGCCGCAAA